AACAAATGTGCTTCATTGTGCAATACCAGTAAGACAGGTGTTGCCTTTGTCACCCTTCGGAATAGCTCGAGATATAGCATGAAAACTGTTAACATGTTTATCCCGTACATACAGTTATATAAAGGAAACCGTTGACATGTCTCTGCAGACACTTGCATGAAGGCAACCTGCCAGGATTTTGTATGTTTTTAATTTAATACGTTGGCATGGAGATCCAGACGACACTACTGTAACACTGTTGTATTGATGGCGTTATATCAAGTTATCTTATCAGATGTTATTCTGCATGTGTTTAAGGTTTTAGATTAGCGTTTTGCATTTTGATGCATTAAACAGTCACATGAGACCAAAATAAGATGCTTCTTCTGCTCTGCCTCGACCCAGCTTTGTTTTTTGACTCGTTTTTGGTTCGAGCAGCAGTAACACGTGTCTGACGCACATCGAATGCCACCAGGAAGTCACCTGCTGGTTTCTGGACTCTGGCAGTTTAAAGGGCTCGCTTGTTCAGATGCATCACACAGACACGTACCTGCTGGTTCATGCTAAGTGACAGACTCTGAAATACTGAAGCATATTATTTGTCAGCTAATTCAATAAGGGGCCAATGTTGTGAACGCACTGAATGGGACGCTTGGCTAATGCAGCCTCACAAACAGGCCTCAGAAAAATCCAAACGAATGGCTTGGGTGAATTTTCACACCATAAACTTCTTAGAAACCGCTTTTTTTCCTTTTTTTTTTTATTTTTATTTTTTTAGCAAAAATGTGACTTCCACGGCTGAATTTGAGAATCGTAAAATGAGGAGTCCGTGGGTATTTATGCACTTTTGGTGACAGTTTAAGGTGGCCCCTGTGGGAAATGTGTTGGCACTTGAGCATTGGCATGTATTTTTAACCTCAGATGTTGCTGCTTGGTCACGCCCGACCCCATCTGCCTCCTGATGTTGAACGCTCACATTACTTGTTTCACAAAGCAGAAACAAAAGGCTTCTGTGTAGTGCAGCTAACCATTTGTCTTGCCTCTGATAGATTTGCACGGAATTACTTATTACTTACCAACCAAATTTGTAAATCACCTGATAAGTTCAAACTGAGAGAAGAGCTTTGTATTGAGCGGACACAGATAAGAGCACATCCTGCATCAGCTCGAGACAAAACACCTCTTTTACTTGACATTATCGATTGACTCAGTGTTTTACTGGATGATTAACCACCACAAAAGATGTACTGACTATCGGATGTGGTTTGTAAGCTTAATATGCTACTCACCTACCCATCAATGCTAGCGACTATGGTCATTTCTAGTCGATGAATTACATGTTATACATTACATGTTTTTATTAATCACACTCAGTAGTTTGTGCTGATTGAACTTGGGCCATTGACTCAATCACAGCAAATGAGCTGATAATCAGCAAGAGAGCTATGTGATCACTGCATAATGAGCTGACAGTGAATGAATAGCGTGTGAAGCCACTGAGTGCAAAGGTCATTAGAGTTCATTACTTAGTTAAAGTGACATATGTGGTGTTTTTATGGTACACGGAGCAGCTTTAACTTAGAAAAAGAAGAAACCAAAGTGAAATCATGTTATTCACTCTTAAAAGTAAAAAAAAAATCTGTGAGCCCTTCTTAAATCGTATCCTGGATGAATCGCATCTTTCTAGAAGAGAATAAACAACAAAGGCTGAGGTGTAATGAGTTGACACAAGTGAAACTAAACTGTGTTATTATAAAGATAACTGAGTGTTGCCGGTGAAATAAAGGAAATCAGTGTGTCGCATGTAAACAGAGACGCTGCTTATGAGCCTTGTGGCTCTAAAGAAAAAAAAGCAGAATCAGACAGACAGAAATAAGTCATAATGAAAGCTCGGTATAGATGGCTGCACTTCCTCAGAGTATGGGGGGATGTAGTGACCAAAAATAAATTCCTGCTAAATAAGGCTTCCACAGAAAGTGCAATAAAACCCCTCAGAGCTGCTCGCTGTGTGCAGCTTCCCAAAAAGCTCCGTACCACCAGAAATTTAGGAGATAGCATTTATTAAAGATAAAGTTTTACTGTGGTAGAAGAACAGTGTGGTCACAGACAAAGGAGGACTTCCTGTTTGTGGCCATATTGATGATACAGACTCATCTCAGGAAATATATTAACTTTTTTGGAACAACAAATCTAAAGGTGTGTTTATCTGGAAGGAGTTAAATCTGGGAATTTGGTCATCTCTCTTAGATCAGTTCCATACCTTTGCGGTCTGACGTCTTCCACCAATGGGCTGAGGCCGTCGGCGGGGCCAGGATGAGTGCGGACCTGCTGTTGGAGGAGCTGCTAATCAAGCGTTCGCAGCAGAAGAAGAGGACGTCGCCGCTGAACTACAAGGAGAGGCTGTTCGTCCTCACCAAGAGCCGGCTGACATATTACGATGGAAGAGCTGAGGTCGCGTTCAGTTTCTGTTCATTTTTTGTATTTTTATTTTTAGCTCCTTTAGTACTGATGAGATTATGTGATGGTGAAGCGTTCATCCACTACTCCTACAGTACTGGTTAGACTTTAGTGGAACAACATTCATTTGTACAGGATGTGACTGTAAGTCTCCCTGACATCTCAGTGGATTTTAGGGATTTTAGTTCTCAGACATTATAACAACCTGTGAATTGTGATGGATCATGAGCAAGATGAGCACTGACAATCTGATCACTTTTGCTTTTTCTTAAAGCCGACTTATTCTGCTCATGTCCAGCTCTGTAACTTTTTTCTTGAACTTTATTGGAGTAATTTTGCATGATTAAAATACCAAAACAACTCTTATTTTTTTACAGTCTCTCCTACAACCTGATTTAACTCCCTTCCATTAAGGCCACCCTTACTTTAACAGAGCTTCTTCTGACTGGCTGCCTCTCATAGAAATGAATGATTGTGTGTTTTGATGACCATATTAGGGATATCCCCTCTGTATGACATCATACAGATCAAAAACCAAAATTGGGGAAAAAAAGGACAGAAAAGGAGCGCTCGCAACAGTCAACAACGTGAGTTTTGGCTCACATAGATCACTTGTACATGTAGTGACTTGATTTTGAAACTTTGGCCATGTTTTATAGGAACAAGACACAAATAACAGACAATGAGGAGAAGCACTGGTTCAGAGTTCATGCTTACCTGGTTCTATACTATAATCCTATAGCATAGTCTGGGAATTAGATCTTTGAACTTGCCAGTGAAACATGTTCAGTATCCAGTCAGCTTACTTGAAGATGAAAACTGGAAACAGCAAGCTGGGCTCCTGTTCAGCAGTTATTTTAGAGACATTATTAGAGAGAGACGCGGTTTTCAAAGAATGCTGAAGTGAAAGCTTTCGGAGAATTCAACAACAGCAGAGATGATGCAGAAATCTAACTTCCAGGGAAGAAAAGCATCTTTTTTATACCAATTTTTTTTGGCATTTGGTCATTTTATACCAGTTTTTCATGCATGATACTTTGGATCAAAATATTGTCTTTTAAAAAATGACTTTTCTTCTCTTTTTGGTCCATATTGTAATTTTGCTTTTGTGGTACCTTTTTTTTCTCCTGACTTTTAACCTTTGAAATGGTGATTTTTAACCTTTTGGTTAAATAAATAGCAGCTACATGTGGGTGTTTCATCAAAAAACATTGAAGTCATTTGAGTCAGCAGTAGCTCTTTAATGTTACACTGAGCCAGAATAGTCATTTATCTCTTTTTATATTAAGTTAAGCTAATGGTTC